AAGAAATGTAATCACAGTATGGTAGTACTTGAATATCTACAAAGAATCCTTTGCATGTGTCAGGCAGATTTTTAGCTACTGCATCTAAAAAAACACAGGTATAGGACATGGACTCAAATGCTACTTACCCAGCATAACACTGATTAAGCCACTGAGCTATTAAACCACACTGTAACTTCTCCAGCTTCTTAAGATCTATATATAAGCCTTCTTTAGGACTGAGATATATATAAAATGGTTTTAGTAGTGTTCACTGAGGTCATTTTGGCTTTCCTGTTCTACACAAAATTTGGCTCCCCACAGGTAAATAAAAGACTTGAGTTTTTCTTGTAATTCACACCTGCATATACCAAATTTGTAAATTGCAGATGGATGCAATTAAAGTGTAAAATTGATAAATAAAACTGGTTCTGCAACTACTTATAAAAGCATGAAAAATCAACTTAATACATCAAGTCACAGACAATACAACTAAATTATAAAGTTATGTATACAAAAATGCAGCACCTCTGTATAAATATGTATGTATAATCATAAATTAAAACCATATAGAGAGATTAGAAATATCCTTTGGGGATGGAAAAACATTACATTATTGTAGAAGAGCATCTTGCCAGCACACTTAGGTTATATATTTGCTATCTTTTATGTGTTATATTTCATAAAAGAAACTCCAGCAGATAGCTAATATTCTGAATCCATTCACCATCTCTCTTCTTAGTAAATGTAACTGTTTAAAATACATTTGTGTCCCACATGCTGGGACAATCAGAGAGCTACTGCAGTGGCAGTGAAATAAAATCATGGCTATTGTTACTGCCTCAAGTCAGTACTAAGATGTTGTTTGTCTTGGGTGCTGTTGGAGCACAGCAAAGGCAGCCCAAGATGAGGCAGCCACCACTCCATTCCATCCAGGCTCTTCCTGATTCACCTCCTCCTCCTCACTGGAGCTGGTACAGTTGTTTCTGTCACTGCTGCAGGGAAACAATCTGGGAGCAAAGTGCAAACTCACAAACAAACAAACCAATCAACCAACCAACCAGGCAGCAATACCAGTTCACAGTATTCACACTCCTCCTTTCACAGCCTTTTCTTGTTGTTGCTGTTCCAGTGTGATTGATACAGCTTAGAAAAATTATTAAATCAGACCATCTGTGTGATGCTGTTTGCTCTGGAGGTGTTCCTTCAACCTCATGCTGGCAAGAGGGATGAACTCAAGCCAGGGTTACAAGAAATAACAGGGATGTCAGCTGTCTCAACTACTATTGCAGCTGAGAAGAGAACAGGGGGTACTGAACCCTGTGAGTAAAAATGAAGGAAAAAGGCATGTGTAACTGATGAAATTCATTTATTCCAGCACCAGGCTGCCTCATTCCCAAATATGCTGGCTCCTACTGTGCATTTCCAAGTCAAAATAACCTGCTAATTGAGAAACAAAAATCAGACAGGAAAAAGATGGAAGATGATGTCAGGTATATCAAGCCACAGTCCATCAGGAGAATTTAAATGCAATATCTTTGAAATTAGTATTATCTGACAAGGACCTAGTGATCTGTCTGGGCTGGTGTATGAGTCTGGAACACTGAGCTTGCTCCACTTGCCATAAACTTCATCCACATAAGGGCTTGATAAAAACTCCTTTAAATAAAGCACTGCAGCCACCTAGCCTTGAAAATATGCAAGTGTTCAGGAACACTCTGATCACAGACTGTAATTAAGCAAAATCCTTCAGTGTAGATCCTTCTGCAGATACCTCAGAAGCCAGTAAAAGATGGATCAGTTGAAACCAGTGACAGAGAAATAATCTGAATTAGGTAACAGAACAACCAAAAATCACTGAAAGTGATCCATCAGTAAATCCATCTCTCTTGAGTTCATCTTTACCAAGTGCAGGACAGTCATTTTTACTTGGCTCATAATCAATTCTTGCTAATGCTGTGTTCTCTGGTTCTGCCTAACACTGATGAGATAAGGAACAGAAGGATCAATGCTTTCATTGTGTTTACTGGTAAACCAGTAATCAGGACAGAGGACTCAATTCCCTGAATCCTAATGATACATGAATTTGCTCAAGTATCCATTTAGACTGACATCAATTACGAACAAACAACAACAGAAAGACAAGAATAGGAAAACAGTTTCAGAGGTAGAAAATGTGGACAGCATCAAACAGAAACCTGGGCTGCTGCTGTATGAGGGCATTCCTCACTTCCCTCTGTGGTCGACTGCTGTGCCATTCCCACACCTCAAATCACAAAGCAAACCTCACCTGCCTCCTCTCCAAAATTCTCCAGCTGGGCACCTTTTACCAAAAAAGACTCTTATTTCACTGACATTACCTGCCCATCTGGACTCATATTCTGATTCCTGACTTCTGAGTAGTAAAGACAGCAAATAAACTTTAGTAGTACCCCAGTTAACAAGAAATTTTAATTTTCTCCCTTCTCTAAAGGGAATTTTCAATAGGTCAATCAGACTTTTGATGCTAGTTAAATACAAAAGTTAATTTTTAATTTTTCACTCAGCTACAGAACTAGCTGAGAAAAAAAAATACACACAACATATAATTAAAACTGAGATGGAAAACAAAAGAGATTAAAAGAACAAACGTACTTCTTACTTCCCAGGTACTCAGTAGCTTCAGAAATTTCTCTCTTAAAAGGTATGGAAGGATTACAAGGAGATCTAGTGTGGCAGCCTACGGCATGCATATATCATGAGAGTTACAGTATTTTTCTCTGATGTGTTTGGTGCTGTCCACTGTTGAGAAAAGGCTGCTATGAGAACCTGTTGAGAACAAGTGTGTATGAATCCAGCTGGATAGTTTCTGTTCTTCTCATGGGCTGTTTTGTTATTTTTTAATTCCCTGGAAAAATTCAGACTCCTCGTTCAAGAAAAATGCATCCCGTTTGAAACTCTTCTAACCTGAGTACACATACATTCATTTTTTAATCATCTCACTTTCAGATGCTCTATATGGAAAAAAAAAATCCAACCTCTTGATTACTGACATTTAATATCAACATGGTCAAATTGGTAAAATACTAAATTGGTAAAATATCAAATTGTATTAAAAATATTGTTTTCAATTTCAGTTCTTCTGCTTGCTACAGTCTAAGAAAGATTCTTCAGAATAAAAACCTTGGACTTTTGATACATCTTTATACATGAAAAGAACAGCCTTGTGCCATCCTCAGTCGAAGGAAGTGACAGGCAGAGCATGACATCACTTTTATTTTTAACTGACTGCTTTCTGGTGAATTTGTTTTGCTGTCAGTACATATTACAGCAGTGTTAATCACATTCAGGCTTTACGAAGACAGAAGCCCTGTGCTGAGTTTGATTCCACAAGCTGGGAGTTCTTAGCTTTTGAAAGAGAAACTTTATTTCAAATTTGCCACAATAGCTGATCTGCAGATGGATCAGTAAGAATACAAATCTAAAGTACCTATGAAAGGTCTACAATCACCAAAGGCATTCATGTGGATTTCTCCACTATAGCCACACCATACAGACTCAGCACTTACAAAAGCATCAAATCCCGGACTCAGGAACACAGGTTTAGTCAGCAAGTAATTGACTATAGATATTGAATTAAACTTATCACCAGTCTGACTTCAGCACATTTTAACAGCTTCCTATTATCACTGGTCTCCTTAATTCACTCGCATGCAATGTCTAAAATAAGACAGGGTCAGTAAGCTTATTACGAGAGAACAAAAACATGTTTCTATTCTCCTACAGACTGTGAGAGTCTGTAAAATAAACACGTGGAGAACCTGCATCTTCCTGATTCCCAAAGAGAGCAGAAATCCAGCACACACCATGTTTATGCTGCCTTGTCTCCACTACCTTTCAAAATCCATCATTAAAGCACACTGTAGCCTTGACAACTATCATATCATAATTATTATTACTAAATTATGCTACTAGTAGGAGACCAAATTCTGAAACCCCAGGTTCCCAGGTTAAAAAAAAAAAAAAAAAAAAAAAAAAAAAAAAAAGAAAAAAAAAGCAGCACAAGAAGTCTGGTCTTCTGGTCTTTCCTCTGTCCTTTATTAGCACTCCCACTCCAGGTGACTTTATTACTCCATTCAGGCAACTAGTACCATGAACTAGCTGGCCCAGAAGGCACTAAGACTCTGCAGACAGCACACACAATTTAAAGCCATAAGGGAATTACTTATTGGCTAATTCACACAGCAGCTGGAATGAACGAGTCATTAATCTCTGTTGGTGAGACACCTTATCAGTCGTGGCTGAATAAAGTAGTCAACCATCAGGCTTTATTGCTTTTTGCATCAGGCCAGTAGCTGTCACTCTTTCTGTCTTCCTTTCTCCGAGGATTCTGGATCTTTTCACACTTGAATCTCTGAACTGCTGATTCTATCTCAATTTCGATTCTGTCGACAAATTAATCTTTCTTATCATGCATAGCTTAAGGCCTTTTCAATATTTTCTCACAAGTAGTTTTCGCGATTTTTGCGAAGTCAGAAGAAAGGTTATTTGGCTGAGCTGAAAAAAGAGGATCTGTGCCCTGAATGCATTGTGTAGCCTACAACTTTTCAGCAGTACTGGGGAATTGCCCCTCGCCGCTTATTTTTCGACCCGCGGATAATTAAGCAGCCCCAGTCGCGACATGACGTGTCCGGGGGCTCACCAGGCGCCGGCCGCCACGGCTGAGAAGGAAACTCCGGGGCAGCCCGCGGCTCTGGGAGCATTCCCGGCGGGATCTGCCCGACCCGGGACTCCCCTCACGGACGCCTCTAGAAAAGCCAAGCAGCACCGTCTGAGGCAGCGCCAAGGGCAAGGAGAGAGCGCCGCCGGGGCGCCGTGAAGTGCAAAGCGAACCGCGCTGTCTGTGTTCTCGTTCACTCGTCTATTTGCTCGTTTATTTGTTTGTTTGTTTGCCCGCGGTACGCGGTTCATTTCCTTCCGGTGCATCTTCGGCACGGCACACCGCCCCTCCCCGGCCTGTCCCGCGCGCAGGCGCGGCCGGCGGCGGCGATGGGCGGGCGGGTGAGCCGCGTGTTCCGGAATTTCAATGTGGAGAACCGAGCCAGCCGCGAGATCAGCAAGGAGAAGCCCACGCCCGCGCCGCGGCACCGCACGGCCCGGCTGGACGCCATGGCCGGTGAGTGAGCGCCGGCCTCACCCGCCCGCCGGCTCCCGGTGCGGGACCGGTGACATTGAGAGCGGCGCGGGGCGCGCGGGGCATGCCGGGAGCCGCGGCGGCAGTGGCGGTGGGGCGGCTGTGGGGGGGTTGTGGGGCGGCTGTGGGGGACCGGGGCGGTCGCAGCGGGCAGCGGCGTGAGGGAGGCTGGTGGAGCTGGCCTGGTGGGCTGGGAGATGGGGGCGGCTGCTGCCACGGCTGCGGGGGGCGGTCGGTGGAGGTGGCTGGTGGGGACAGGAGCTGGGGACGGTTGATGGCGCGGGTGGTTCCGGGGCAGCTTCTGGAAGCGATGGTGTCAGTGGTGGCAGGGATGGTGGCACGGAGCGGTGGCTGAGCAGCACTGACCGTGTGGGCACTGTGTCCCGCCGTGCTGTGACAGGTGACAGGCCCAGCCCCACCTTGTGAAGCCGTGTCGCTGAGGTCAGGGCTGTGGGAGAGGAATGACACCTTCCCCAGAAGGCAGGTGCATTTGCGGGAGCCGTGCCGCTGGGGAAGAACCAACAAAAACGAAACTATTTGAGTCAGATCAATCTTTTCTTCCTTTTTTTTTTTTTTTTTTTTCCTCCCTTCCCTTCTTCTTCTCACTGCCTTTAGATAGCCCAGAGATAAAAGAAGAAGTTTTCAGAAAGGACGATAGGTTCCTCACCTTGCTCAAAGACGTTTATGTCGAGTCCAGAGATCCACCGGTGCGGGTGAGTGCAGCTTTGTGGTCTTCAAACTCAGCACAAAGCCTGTGTCAAGAAAAATGCTCTTTGTGCATAAAACTTACCTTTTTTCAGTAGATAAAAGTGGTGGTTTTATTACTCTTCTATACATTAATAACACTGGGTGTGTCTGACCCCAGGTTTTGAATGTGTGACAAATTGTAATTATTAGGCAAGTTCGAAATGCTGACACAGTCTTCCTTTTTAACATTTTGTTGTTCTTATATTGTTTTTCATCTAAATTCCTATTTCTGCTTCCTATGAGGCAGGATACTTCTTGAGGCTCTTGCAAAGATAAAGTAGTTTGCCAGAGGTCATTTGTGGAGTTGTTGGAAAAGACTGGGGCTGCTGGGGGAGCAGGGATGTGGTAGAGGACAAATATGTTTACTCTTTAACTCCATTAAATGTTATACAATGCAGAGACTTTTTTTATCCAGCTCATGGAAATGCCTTAGGTTTTTTCTACATAATCTTGTGGGTTGTATGGTCATCATTTCCTTATTGCCACTGGCTGCAATCTTTTACTTGACAGGCTAAGCATACTCCTTTGTAAAATGCAGACTGGGGTTCAGTGTCCTCTTTTCTATCATATTGTGCTGTGGCTTGTGTGTTTTACCTGTTTCATTATAGCAATAAAAATTTTATAGTCAGCTAGCAAAATCCCTAAGTCTCTCTAATTTGCCATTTATATGGTATTCAAGTCTAAAAATATTTAAAATTCAAATAGATTTCTTCAGTTTCTACCTGAATTTTTCAAGAAATTTCTATTCTTCATTTCCATCACAGAGGTTAGGACTCTAATCTTGAAGTGCTGAAGGTCTAATTTCAGTATCTTTGAATATTCATGTATAAAGCTGTCAAGAGAGATTTGAGAAAAAGCCAAAGTGGAACAGATCTTTGCTTGATTCCATGCCTACTCTGAGTTTGCTGCCACAGACTTGCCCTTGTGCTGTGTCTGCTTGCAGCTGCTAGAGCACAACTGAAATGTAATCACAGAGACTTGTGGGCAAAGCAATAGAGAAGCTTTCTCCCATTCCTGATGTTGTCCTGATGACTTTGTGCATTGTGCACATGATGTGCACACACCTCTGTGTATGTTTGGGGTGTCTGCCTGTGGCAAGTGGAAAAGCATCAGCTTGGGAGCCCTGAAGTGGCAGAGTCCCAGAGACAGATGATCTAATTAAGTTGAAAAATCATTCATTATCCAAGCACAGTTTTAGCAAAAAAGTAGAAGACCTGGAGAACAGGCCAGACATTCCTTGTAGCTGAGAAACAGACACACAGGTGCTGTAGGATCCACATCAGTTTTCTCAAAACCTGAGTTAGTACAGAGTGTCTGTGTAATAATCAGTGGTAGTGGGCTCTGATTACTATATGAATACTTCTAAATTTAAGATAAGATTAATTGTGTCTTTTTTTTTTCCAGTGTGATTCACTGATTAAATGTTAATAAAAGGAAATATGAGGAAGTGAAAGCTGTTTTGGAGATTACTTGGAAATATGAAGGGACTCTAGAGAAGGCACTTTGTTGTAGTAATCATGGCAATTAAACTCCATATGATGCTGCAAAATAGCAGGAAAGCTTGTTCTCTAGACAGAGCAAAAGAAGGGATTTATTTTAGTAGGAAAACTAAAATTTGAAAACAAAAGGAAGGGGAGAGAGACTACATGAAAAAGTTTTCCAGTGGTATCAGAAGGATACCAATTTGTTGTATGATTTTTTGTCTCTTCCAATGAATCAGTACCAAGTATTAGGTTATCTGGATTTACATTTGCCTACCAGAATCTGTAGTTTGCCTTGTGTGAAGGGCTGCCAAGCCAATACAACACTTAGAGTGCAGTGAATGGGAGCTTTTCAGCATTTGGCTGGGAGCTGACACTCTGTGTAGAATGGCTGTGAAAGAAGCTAGGCTGGCTAAGCTTTTTTTAAAAAAATGGGGAAAGCTAACAGGAAAAGCTAAACAGAAAAAATATTTAGGAAAGCAGCTTAGCTGCTATGGTATACATAGTAAACAGAACTGCTGTTGAGCTCTTTTTGTTTTCCTTCCCTCAATTAGGTAAAAGATGGAGGTGGTGAACATCTTCCAAGTAAACAGGAGGAAAAGAGACTTACAAAATTAGGCCACCTGGAAGGTCTAGATGTTAAAAAAGTTCCCAAAGGCAAAATATCCCTTGTAGAGGCCCTGACACTTCTTAATAATCATAAACTTCAACCTCAAATATGGACTGCAGAGAAAATAGCAGCAGAATACAGTCTGGAACTGAAGGAGGTCAACTCTCTTCTGGAATTCTTCATTCCTTTTGCTGTGCAGGAATTTCCTAAAGAAACCAAAAAAGCTATAACAAGCCATAAACCAAAACAGTTAACATAAAAATATTTGCCAAAACCTTCTGTGATCTCACTTGTGTCTTCATTTTACTCTCAAGTATATTCCATGAAAATTCAGTTGATAAGGTGTCATCCAGCAAGGCTACTTCCTTATGCCAGTGAGATGTATTCAAGCAATTCCATTCTCCATTGGATGGCTTCATTGAAATGCAGCAACTACAGTTTGTAAACCAGAATATGACTAATTCATGGAATGACAGCATGTCACACAGTTCTGACTACCCCATTCAAATGTTATGAACTCAGTTAAAGCATTTTACTGTAAGAATTTTACTTTAAGAGATTGCCTTTCTCAGCAGAGACTTCTTGGCCTGCAGCTAAAGAGGTGCTCTGTGGGCGTTGGCTCTGTAATTTCATGTTGCACTGCTCTTTCAAGGAATTGCTGTCAAGGTGTGTGTGTATATAACAAACAGCTGTGTTTCTTTTGTGTAAGAATGGAATGGTATTTATATTTTGTAAAGAAGGTTAACCACAAGGAAAATTCAACTGTGTCAAACATAAAATAAAAAGAAAGTGAACAGCAAGAAGGCCTCTTTCTGGTGCTGGAACAGCAGTGGTTCATATGTAACTCCTCTTATACTCTATTCTCATTTAGTTAAATACCTGCACCTCTCCAGGTGCTGTTTGTCAGGGAATTTGTAGTGATGATCTTCTGGCATAAGTCTCTTGCAGCAGCCCATGGCATCTGCTGTATGAGGAGCAATGCTTCATATTAATAGGTAGCAAGGACATACAACTGGATGTACTAATTAGACCCACTAGGAAAACTTCTGTGAATGTTTGCCCTTCCTGTTACAATAATCCTTTTTCCCTGTGGAAGCCTTGTCTGATCCAAGTGTGGGCTAGATCAGGTCATGTTTACATGCATACACCTAGACAGATGACACAAGGGTGACACAAACTGTGAGGCAGTGGTGGATTTTAATCCCAATACTGTGACTAGTCATGTCTGTAGGTAAGTAGTTTTGCAGTGATGGTTAATCCTGTAGCGAAACATGGTCAGATAAGCTGGGGAGATGGGGCAATAGAAAATCAAATTGATATTTGAAAATTCATTATGGTTGCCTTCCTTTAAAAAACAAACCCAGAATCTTTAATCTTATGCCTGTCACCAAAGAAGGTGAATTTAAAGGGTATAAGTCTGTGCCAGGCTTACATTGTAACTTTCTTTTCAAGAACCTTTCTGCCAAGTCTTTGGTTTGGAGTCTGGTAAATGTCTTAGCAAGAAGATGATCAACTTTGTTATTTCACAGCAAGATTCCTTCACCTTCTTTGAGTTGGAACTCAGTATCTCCAGTACAGTTTGCCACAGTGTATTTGAAGGTTATGTTTGATTCATTTCTGAAGTACATAATGCTGTACAATAGTGGGAGATGTCACTGTGCATTGTATAAAAATTCAAAATTGTTAGTCTTAGGATGTGTGGCTTGTCATTTGTCCTCTAATACAATGGGATACAGAGCTGCACTCTGAAGGTAATACGTTAAGACTGCTTTGCACAAAATACTGTTTTATAAAATGTTATAACAGAAATACTTAATTGTTTGAGTACTGTTCATCCTAATGTAATATTTAAGGTAACACTCAGAAAACAGCTGTGGAATGCATTTGGTACAGATACTGTTGATATTGAAGATGCTGCAATTTCCTGTAAAATGAATTTTATTATGGATTGAAGTTGATTAAAAACACACTACAACCAGCACCAGACACCAGTTTAACCATGCCCTTTGACTACCTTGATATGTATTTTGGCATCTTTTGTCTGCCTTCATGAAAGTCTTGGGATGTGGCTGCACCATGACAGTGTTCTGTTTCACTTCATGGTACACTACTGTGTTGCTTACACCCTCCAGGAGCAGGCTTGTGCTTTGGGATGTTTGCTGTCATCCCATTCAGTGCCCCAGCCTACCTCCAGGACAAAATCCTATCCACAACTGTGATGATTGCAAAGCTGTTCCCTGTTTTGTGGAGCCAGGATCTCTTCCTCAGAATATATTATCCACAGTGGGAAAGCAGATGCCCCATAGCAGAGTTGGTGTAGGGATCCCAGCTCCCTGCAAGCAGGTGAACTTGTGGCCCAGAAGGCTTCTCTGGAGCAGGGTGGTTCTCTGGCAAAGTGTGTTCACCCCAGGAAAATTGGATGCAATGCAATTTCTCAGCAAGGATTCTTCTGCTGGTCACCTGCCCTACCTGCTGGGCAGTGTCAAACCAGTATTACAAGGGTATTGCCAATAGTAGAGGATCATGTAAAAATTTGTACCATTATCTATCCAAATCATCTGAGGTCTGAATGTTTAGCTTTCACTGTATCCTACAACATGGAGCATGTCAGTTCCCCAAAGCTCACAAGAACCAGGAGCATGGATCTTTCCTTTACTCTGGTGAGAAAACAACCTGTCCCTGATCAAGCTCTCCAACACTACTATCTTGTACAATTCTGACCACAGCATGTGTGTGTGCCTACAGTGTTCCAGTATGTGTTTGAAGGTAATGTTGTCTTTTAGGCTTGATGTATGGAACAACTATTCTCACTGTTGCATCTTTTCTAGAAGTACTTCTATCCTTTCTTCCAGTTTCAAGGGACGTTTTACTCATCAGTTATCTTGCCTGGTTACTAGTTTCTAATTGGAAGAATAATGGTATTTTCACTTGAACCATGGTTGTGTCTGTGTCCCTTTATGTCTATATCCCTTTCCTGTTTGGCTGTCAGCTTAAGAAATTCTTCATGCAACTCTTTTGAAGAGGTAATTATGGGGAATTTGTGGGAACCTGCAGTTCTGTTTTCAGGTACTTCTATGTGAAGAATTTTTCATGTCTCATTGCCATGCATATGGTGAAACAAATTTAGCTCAGGTGGTTTTGTCCACCAAGCAGAAATATTATATTTGGTAGGGAACAACCTGTCTCACTCAGACTGCTTTGTTATTATGGAATTAATGCAATGTGTTGCAAGTACTTTGTGATCCTGCAAGGGATTTGTTTCATTTCTAGTGTGTCACATAGTTGACAAACTTCTTACATGTGACATTATTCTACCAGAGTTTCAAACATCACAGAATAAACCCCAGACCACTTTGAGCACCAATGCAGAGTGAATACACAGGAGCAGGCTGAGCCTCATTTGATAATGAGGGTTACATTCCTGGTGAGTCATAAAACTGACTGTCTTCAAGGGAGTTCCAGCAGGTATACTGGAATTCCTGGCTTGAATTTTTTTAAAGAAAATTTCTTTTGGGGTAGTCAAATACCTAATTTACCTGGGTTTTTTTTGGACATACTCCTCTTTCTCTAGTCTTGTTCTATCATTAAGTCTATTCTTCCCAGCCTTCTGCAGCCAGTCTTTGCTGCTATGAAAACTTCATGCAGTTGCATTCATTCTCTGTTCTAGATCACGTGCAAATGTTGGTTGTATTCTGCCCTTTCAGTAACAACTATTTTATTTTTGCAGAGCACTCTTGCCTTCTGAGAGTAGCACATCTGCTGAGATAAAGATGAAAAGACTGAGCACATTTTGCGCTGCAGAACTTATGAACAGGACAGGTTTTCAAAAGGAATTTAGCTTTGACATCTTCAAAGGCTACTCTTTAGGGATATATGAACCTAGTAAGTAATGTGTCTCACCATATATGTATTAATTGTAGCTTGGTTCCTGCAGACTGATGGCAAGATAGCAAGGTTGGAGCTGTGAGGCAGGAGGGAGTTTTAACTGTGCTCCCCATGCAGTTTAGTAAGAGGGACCTTCTGTACAAAATGTGAATTTTCTGTAGCCTCCCAGCACAGGGAACTTGTCTTTTAAGCTGCCTTTATTGCTCAAGGAGAGAAGAAAAGTATATGTGCAACATGTGTATTAAACTTACAAAATGGAACGTCTTATTTCTGTATTGGAAAATCAAAGCTCAAGTGCAGCTCAAGTACAGCACATACAACAGGATCAAAATGCAAAAGTTATAAAAGGGTGGCTGTCTCACTTTGTTACATGTAAGCATCAGGCTTGCATGTTTGAGATTGCACGAAGCTTCACATTTCACAGCTCTTTCTGAAGCCCCTTTATACAGGAGTTTCCTGGCTCTTAATCAGATGGTGCCACTGTTGAACTGACAGGGCAGGCATGACCAGAGCAGGGGAGCTTTAGGTGCAAACAGATTTTGGTACTTGAGACTGTAGCAAGTTGAACACCAACTGATGTGGTACTTGCAAGCAAAACACCCTGTTGGTGCTTGTTATTAAATCTCTTTCCAGCAATATGCAAGTCTAATGAATTCTGTTAGCCTTTCACAATTTAGGTACTGCTGTGTTGTTACCAGAGCTAAGTTTTTTCTCCTGAAAAAAGCCACAAATCCCATGGATTTAATTCTCTTAGAAACTTAACATTGGTTTTCTTGGTCTGAAACAGAGACTCAGATGTACACAGCAGCAGTGGTAAGGAACAGCAGCACATCTCCTGTATGGTGCTGGAGGGAGAACACTGTGGTGCTCTTGTGCCTCTGCAAGGTGGAGTGGGGTTTGATGTGTCTGCCACCAGGAAACGAATTTAAAAAATAAATCTGCCAAGGTGGTTCTTGTTGTGACTTGGTTTGTGACTGTTGTGCAAAATCTCCTTTCAGTGTGGGCTACTTCAACTGCAGAAGCTGTTTTTAGGTGAGATGTTTTAGCCTCCTGGGAGGAGTAGTGCTGCATTGCCCTGGAGGGAAGCAAGTGGGGCCAGACAGACCACACAGGTATCTCCTATCAGGATTTCCCACATGGGAATAGAAAATGCATGAGGCCACTGTTTTTAGTAAGCTGAGAGAAATGGTGGTGTGGTTGCATCAATCTCTACTTTTTCAAAAGTCATTCAGTGGCACCCACACCTTGAAGCTGGGATCACACAGGGACTGAGGAATCCCACTGCTGAGTGGGATGAGCTGCATGTGGTGCTGGTGAAAGCTGGAATCAGTCCTGCCAGGGCTGCTGTAACTGGAAGCCTGAGTGTAAAGTCACAGCTGGAAGCTCTGCTTACACAGAGCTTGGGGTCTGGAGAAAGGACAACAGTTAGCCCTGGTAACTTGGGTGCACTGGGAGTGCAGAGCTGGTTATAATTGCCTGTTTTGGCAGAGTGAAAAGAGATAAAAGTGGAGTCTCTTTGAGACATTTTCTCTGACCTAAAGTATGCCCTTTTGTTAACTGCACAGGGCTTTGCTCCAAAAAAAATCAATACAGTTCATGACTGAAGTTCAGCAATGTGTGGAGTGTGAAATAGAGGCAGAGCAATGAAGCAGGGGCAGAGCACAGTAAGCCTGGACAGTCAGATCCTTGTTCAGCTGCCATATGTACAGGAGTTGTGCACTGCATGTCACCCTTCACTGCCCTCTGTCCCAGCCTCTGGAGTTCACAGCACAACACTGGCCTAAAGTATGGCTAGGTGTCCCCTTGTAAAGTGGGGTTCTGGATTTCCATGTCTCTTAAGGCCAAGCAGAAATGGAATGTTAGACAGAGCCTATCTTAGCAGTCTCCATGCCCCCTAAAAGCTGGAACCTGTGTATCTCATTTGCATAATTCCTCCACACCATGAATTTTCATCCTGAGAACCAAGCATAGCAGGGCTCAAGTCCCTCTTGCTGGGGCTCAGGTGGGGCAGTGGTAGGGGCTACAGCCTGGTGGGCAGGGGAAGGGGCTCACTGCTGCTCAGGGAGGGAAGCCTTCTCTGTTCCTTACCACCCCACCCCTTTCCCAGTGCTACAGCCCACTACAGCCCACCTCCTCTCTCTTTGCTAGCTCAGGCAATTGTCAGGCCACTTGATGAACCACTTCAATTCACTAACATGGCAGAAAACAAAGCAAAAGAGATAATTTTATAACTGAGAAGAATAAAGT